TGTCCTCATTTCTACTCTCAGCTTTCACAGATGTCAGAAGGACAACTCAATGAGAAGTTTTCCCTGCCTATTCCAGTTTTCTCAAAACATTATCTGTCAGTAATGAGTGTTTATCCCATGATTCTAAGCAGGTTGTATTAGTTTCCTAGAGCTATACTAAATCCTAGGGTAGCTTTAAACAACATAAATTTATTCTCTCACAGTTGTGTAGTCTAGAAGTCCAATCTCAAAAGGTCAACAGAGTCATATTCAGCTAGAGATTCAAAGAAAAGATCTGCTAAATGTCTCTCTTTTCTAATTCCTGGTGGTTCCAACCAACTCTTGGACTTAGTTTCATAGCTCCAATTTTTGTCTTCATCTTCACATATTTGTCTTCCTCTCCATGGGACATTTTACAAATGGCACCTCTTTTAAGGATATCAGTGATTATACTTAGGAGCCTCTCTAATCCAGAATAGCCTAATCTGGACTCAACTACATTTACAAAGACACTATAAATAAAAATAAGTTCACAAATTCCAGGCAGTCATCAACTTCTAAGGGACACAATCTTACTCAGTACACATGATAAAGCCATTCTGGCTGTTATCATCTTGATATAGTTGATAAACTGACATATTGTATATCTGAGTTCTTCGACTGTGAATAGTGAAGACCGACACATGACTCCACAACCCAAACCCTCATGGAACAGAATAGGGGTGAAAAATGGGGACACGATAAGCAATGTCATGAACATGGCTCAGTTTCCTAGAAAGTATTCCTGAGTAACTAAAAAGTTACTAAATTGTGGATGACTAATGGTTTGTGTAATAATTGTAGAGCATAGTTTTTCAAATTGAAAACTTAATTCCTCCATTTTTGATAATAAATTACTAATTTTGTTACTTGTGGCTTTTTTTGAAACAGGTAATGCTCTGACTTCCAGTGGAAATATTACTTAAATCTAATTCTATTCTTCCCATGTCTTGAGCTCAGAATTCAAGAACCTGACCCCAAGTAAATTAGGATGTCCTCCTGAGATACTGTGGAAAAAAATAAACACAATGAGGACGGTTAGATGATGGCAGTGCTCTAGGGGGAAGAGGGTCCTGAACTTGCTGAATTGATGACCCCAATGTCCCTCTCAGTCCATTTATGCTTTTTCTTAGTTGAATTCCTAATTCTCAGAGTCCTGCTGACTTTTTATTTCTAGTTCTTACCCCTGAGGCTCATGTCTATTCTCTGAGGAACAAAAATCCCCAGTATAACTTTACCAACTCCTCTCTTCATCTTCTTCCTCTCCATTTGCTTATTTCAGACTGTGAGAAAAATTTTCAGTTCTCAAAGGAGTAGTTTCCTAAGTAATATAATATTTATGTTTCATGCCTTCAGGAAAAATTTGACTCCAACTCCAGGAAATGTATGTGTATACACATTCCTTCTGGATAGAAGACAGAAGAATGTAATTGGTGTTAGTGCACCTTTTTTTTTTTTTTCCTGATGGATTAACAGCTATACATATAGAAAGTACTAGGGGTCTGTCAAAACAAATCCATTGCTCAGTGAGAGGTCATGAGGAACACTCGTAACTGAATAAGAGAGAACATGAAATAAGTCAATTACTCGCTGAATAGAGGCTGTATCACTTATGACAGTTTTGTGCTAGAGATTTCAAGCAGAAACCAGGAACTTGGCAGATAAATCTGAAAGGAAGAATTGGCTTGAAAATGGGAAACACAGTAGCGCGCCCGAAACCTGACGTCCTTAACAGTCATACAGATTAAAAGGATGAAATGTATATTAACTTAGTGTTAGTAAAAGTTGTAGTACTTACGTTACATTGAAAATATTTACACCCTCATTGTAGATGATATGCTTCTATCACTTAAAAGTGAAAACAGAATGTTTAGGTATGAAAAAATAACCACAGTGCCCTGGCACCATAAGAGAAGCAAGGCTTCTGACTCTCCAAATGAAAATTTGGATTTCTTTTTTTAATTTTTTTTATTTATTATCATCATAATCATGTTTATATTACAATGAATCACATATAACTTTACAGTGTATTACATTTGTCTTTCCAGAAGGAATACCATGCATATCAGTCAATATAAAGACATTAAAATCCCCATCATCATCATCAAATAATTTCCCAGATCGTTATTATTATTACTCCAATTATTTTTTAAACATTCAATCAATATTTATCATTTTACTTATTAAAAAAAGCTTACCCAACATGAAATTCTTCTCAGACCAGTCCAGTTGCAAATACTATACATGTCATCATCAACAGATAATAAACCGTTTCTGTCCCACTAATGTCATGCTTCTCTATTTGTTCTCTTGCTATCCTTCTCCATACTTTTCTCTTCTCCCACCCCGCTTCACACTGTCTTCATCATAGCTATCTTCTCTCACCCCGCTTCACACTGTCTTCATCATAGCTATTTTCACTGCTTTTATGCCTTCCAATATTTTAATCTCTACCAAAAGTGCAGATAGTCAGTACATATTAAGGGGATACATACAGTATCTTTCTTTCATGTCCTGGCTTACTTCTCTCAACAATAAATCCTCCATATTCAACCACTTTCTATCAAGTATCAGGGTCTTATTGTTTTGTTTTGTTTTTTTATGGCTGAATAGTATTCAATACAACATATGTGCCACACTTTTTCAATCCATTCATCTGTTTATGAACATTTGGGTTTGTTCCATGTCTTAGTGATCATGAATAATGCTGCAATAAACATTGATGTGTAAGCACTTTTCCAATTGAGCATTCTCCTGTCCTTTGGGTAGATACCCAGAAGTGGAATTGCTGGATCAAATGGAAGTTTTATTTGTAGATCTTTAAGGAACTTCCATATTGCTCTCCACAATGACTGAACCAGTTTACATTCCCACCAACAGTGTAGTATTTCTTCATATGCTTTTGGGCTGTTCATAAGTCTTCCTTAGATTTTTGTTCAGCTCATTTTCCCATTTTTTATTTTATTTTATTTTTTTGAGAGGTTTTTGCTATAGGGCGCGTGCGCTCACCAGACAGACAGAGAGAGACATAGAGACAGAAAGCGAGAAATCACCCCCCAGGAGGGATGGTCACGCCACAATCCCTTCTCCTCCATTCTCCTCTCAGGATCTTGGGAACGCATGCACACGCGCCCGGCGTGAGTTTTATGCCACCGGGTCCGGGACGCAAACCGCAGTCGACTACGTGGTAGTCCAGCGACATAGCCATTACGCTAACTACTGGTTCCCGATTTTCCCATTTTTAAATTGAGTTGATCATTTTTTTTTTCAAGTAAGGCACTTGAGTTCCCTGTGTATTCTGGTTATCCGTCCCTTGTCTGAGGCATATTTTACAAAAATAGTCTCCCATTCTGAGCATTGTCAATTCACACTAGTTACTGTGTCCTTTGCTGTGCAGAGACTTCCTAGTCTGATATAGTCCCACTTGCCTATTTTAGGGACTATTTCCTGTGCTTTGGGAGTCTTATGTAAGAAGTCTTTGCCTACTCCAATGTCTCCTAGAGTTTCCCCAGCATTTTCCACATGTAGTTGTATAGTTTGAGGTCTTAAGTTCAGATCTTTGATCCATTTTGAGTTGACTTTTGTTAATGGTGAAAGACGGGGAAGGTTTAAATTTCTCACTGGTACACAGTTGGAGTATTTAGAATAGTGGAATAAATGTTATAATTCTCTTAAAACTTAATGCTGTAAAGACACAATTGGAACTATATAAATTGGGGAAAGTACTTGACTTCAAATCAAATACTGCTCATTTTTCTTCTGACTTATTCAAAATTCAGTAAGTTTGTGTTTTTAACTGCCTTGTTCCCATCAGGCATCAAAGCTAATTACTTATTGCTCTTATGACTCAATTGAGGTTAGAGGGAGGTTTAAGCAACTACCTCATTAAAACCTAGAAAGGCATAACAGGAGCATTCATCTTACTATCTCTTCCCAAACACTGTGATTTAGGTAGATTAGATAAACAAAAAAGGGAACTTTGCAGAGAAAGCAGAAGATAAAGCCGGAAGTCAGTGGAAACCATAACTAAAACAGAACAGTGTGTTTAATATTAGGAATACCAAGAACTAGTGATAACAGAAAGATAAGAATGGCTGCTAGCTAAATATGACCAAGAACCAAGATATCATAAATAAGTGCAAGCAAAGAGTAAAATGTATGAATCGTGGCACTGAAAACCTAGGCATGCAAAGATTTCTTTGTAAGTAAAGCAGCTATAGGATGTGTAGGATATTGAACACCACTCTGTTACAAATACAGGAAACAAATTGCTATGTTCATCTTTTATTCCTATCATGCGATTTAAACACAGCTGGAAAACCACATTGTTGCTTTTCCAGATTCTCAAAAACTGTTTTTAATTTTTAATAATTTAAGGTATTGGAGAGACGAGGAGATGGCGAAATTGTTATGTCGCTGGACTCACAGGTAATGGATTCCAGGAGCTAGAGGATGAAAACTAAGGTTGGGACCATGTGCACCCATGCCCAAAATCATGACAGAAGAAGGGAAGAGAGGGAATGCAACATGGTCATCCTCCTGGGTTGTGATTTGTCACATTCTGTCTATCTGTCTCTTTCTGTTTCTTTGATAAGTGTACATACTCTAAAAGCAAAATAATAATAATAATAATAATAATTAAAAATCTATTTTTTAAAAGTTTTTGCCAGAGAAAGACAAAGAGAGAAAAAACAGGTTGTCAGGTCCATGACTCGAACTGCAGTCAGCCATATGGGAATTCCTGCACTTTAAAACCACACCACCTGCTGGCCCCGCTAAAAAAAATAATTCTCTTAAACAAAAATGTACACATATGATTGAATAACATAAAGCATAAAGTATATAAACATACATCACACGATATGATATTCTGAAATACGTATACATTGTGAAATTGTTAAATAAGTCAAAATGTATTATGATCTTACTTGTCCTTTTTTGTTGTGGTAACAAAGTCCCTCCTCTCCCACATCATATTACAATTATCTATGAGACAAAAGGTGAAAAATCCCTTGGCGGATTTGTTTGGTCTTAACACTATAGATAATGGGGTTTGTTACAGGGGGTGCCAGTAGATAGATGTTGGCCATAATGACATGTACAATTGGAGGGGCATGCTTGGCAAAGCGGTGAGTCATGGACACTCCCACCATGGGAACATAGAGAACCAAGACAGCTAAGATGTGGGACATACAGTTATTGAGGGCGCGGAGTCTTTCGATGTGGGAGCCTAGTCTCAGCACATTTCTCAGGATGAATCCATAGGAGAGCATGATGAGCAAGGAGTCCAGTACATTAATAAACAGCGCTAGTAAAAATCCATACCAATTGTTGATGGTGGTGTCAGCGCACACCAAGTGAATCATGTCTTGATGGAGGCAGTAAGAGTGGGAAAGATTATGGGAGCCGCAAAAGGGAAGCCGTATCAGTAGGACCAACCCAGGAATAACAGCCAGAACACAGCGGCATATGATGGCTAGTCCTATTCTTCTGATGACCTGGTTAGTGAGGATGGAGGCATAGTGGAGGGGCCGGCAGATGGCCACATAGCGATCAAAGGACATGGCCAACAGCACAGAAGATTCCATGAAGGAAAATGCATGGATGAAGAAGAACTGAGCAAAACAAGCCTCAAAACTGATTTTTGAAGCATTTAACCACGAATGCCCATGAGAATGAAGTAGAAGGTGACTTGACTGGAGTTAGTGTCCAGAGTCATGACTGAATGGGACAGGTATAGAAAATACTTCTCTGCCGAATCTGAGAAAGAAAGGGTGGGGGCGGGGCAGCATAAGTATTTGAGGAAGTGTTCATGACCGCTTGATCACATGAACCACGTATTTCAGAGCATGAAGTGATCATCTGTTTTAAACTGTTTACATGTTCAGAAAACAGTTTTCTTTACATATGAGAAGTATAGGAGAGTTTTATTGCCGTAAAAAATAATAGCTATAGAATAGAGAAAACAGCAAAACATTTGTTTGATGTCATGAGGCAAGGAAAAAAAGAGTGAGCTACAACCAGCAAATCTAAAAAGCGATTATAAGACAGGTATTTAATCTTTAAGTCAACCAAACCTCACAAAGAGAAATGGGCTGAGGCAAACAAGAGGAAAAATATAATGCCTGTTTTCAAAAAACAGAAGTCCTATGAAAGAACTTTCAGAGACCAGAAGTTAGAGGATCTTTTTGTTGGCTGAAGGGCCAAAATAGACCCTTGAGTGAGTCAAACATGACATTCTATGGCTGAGATATACGTCAAAAGGAACTTTGTTAAAAGGTTAATCTAGTGAGCACTTCTGGGAAAGACTGCAATTATGATTAGAAACATGTCTGGGAAACTGCCTCACAGGACTGAATGTTGGAAACAGATCTCTCTGTACATAAAACAATTATATCTTTTGGATCATTCAGCAGTTTGCGAATTTTAAGCTCATATTCCCTGAGGTTGGAGTAAAATATTCCATGTGTTTTATTATTGCTATCTGGTAATACCTCATTGTACTTTCTTAAAAATTGCAGTTTAAAAAAAGAACTACATATAATAATTTGCTAATCCTACCCTCCACCAGATAGTCTAATTCAATACTCAGTAACCTCTCTGTATTTAGGGCTGCCATCATTGCTATTTTAACCACTTTAAAGAGGGATAGATTGAGGAAGCAGAAGAGGACAGAAAGGGAGGAAATCTCAGGCTATAGAAACCAGAATCCTTCCTCCTGGCCCTCAGTAAGCAGCTTTGAACTCAGCTTTGAGAGCGAGTCCATCTCTGAGAAAGCTTCACTTGGTGCCCTTCATCCTGAAATTATGTTACCCAAGAAAGGCCCCTTTGTAATCTTGTTGGGGTTTGCCATGGCACAACCCTAGTTAGTGTTTTTGGAACGTGATCAAAATGTAAGATCTTGTCTCCAAATGTCCTCCAGCCTGCCCTTCCATCCACAAGCTCTGGAGTGTTTTCTTCTATCTCTGTTCAGTTCACAAAGATCCCCTCAACCTCACTTCCTATCTCATCTTTGTGGTATTCTTTGTTCATGTACTTCACCTGTTATCTGCTTGCCAGGAGCCTTCACGTGTCTGTGGAACTTAGCCTGCTGAATAGGAGCATTTGTATAACATTTTCAGAATCTCAGGGGACAGAGTAGAATTCTTTTAAGCAGCTGCCCGAGGGAGAGAACCAAGACAGATTCATGCAGCTTTCACTGCTCCATATGGCTAACAGGCAAAGAACAGAGCTGAGATTCTCTGATTTTTCAAACGTAACCTGAGAAAAATCAAAACCAAAAGTAATACATAGCCAAACAAGTACATAAAGCAATTATATCTTTTAGATCATCCAATAGTTTGCTGTGAAATTTTTAAGGTCATATTCACTGAGGTTTGAATAAACTATTTCATGTGTTTGATTTTATTATTGCTATCTGGTAAGACTTTCTTATACTTTCTTTAAGCTTACAGTTTAAAAGCTCAAAAGAGGGAACCTGCAGTTACCATAATGGCTATGTTGCTGGACTCCCACGTAGTCGACCGCGGTTCGTGTCCCGGACTCGGTGGCTTAAAACTCATGGCGGGTGCGTATGCATGCATGCCCAAGATCCCGAGAGGAGAATGGAGGAGAAGGGATTGCAGCATGACCATCCCCCCTGGGGAGTGATTTCTCGCTTTCTGTCTCTATGTCTCTCTCTGTCTGGCGAGCGCACGCGCCCTATAGCAAAAACCTCTCCAAAAAAAAAAAAAGCTCATAAGAAATATATTAATTTTCTATTTCCACCCACCACCAGATAATCTAAATCAATACTGAATAACCTCTGTGTATTGAGGGTTGCCACCATTGTTATCATAATCATTGTGAAGAGGAGCAAATAGAGGAAGCAGAAGAGGACATGAAAGGAAGAAATCTCAGGTTGTGGAAACCATAATGCTTCCTCCTGGTTCATCACTAACCAGCCTTGATTTTGGCTTTAAGAGTGAGTCTGTCACTGAGCAAGCTACTCTTGGTGCCTGTCATCCTGAAATTATGTTACCCAAGGAAGTCTCCTTTGGTAATCCTGTTGAGGTTGTGCAAAGGCACAACTGGGTTTGTAGAACATGATAAAAAAAAATTAGATCATATTTCCAAAGGTCCTTCAACACCTCCCTTTCTTCCACAAGCTCTGAGTGTCTTCCATTTCTGTTCAGTTCATTGGGATCCCATTCAACCTCACTTCCTATTGCATCTTTCTGGTATTCTTTGACCAAGTATTTCACCTGTATCTGCTTGCCAGGAGTCTTCAGGCTTCTGTAGAACTTAGCCTGCTGAATAGGAGCTTTTGTATAACATTTTCTGATCTTCACGGGAAGGAGTAGAATCCTTTTTAACAGTTGCTTCAGGGAGAGAACCAAGACATATTTACGTAGGTTACACTTCTCTGTATCACTCACAAGAGCAGAGATTTTGTATGCAGTATTCAAAGATAACATGAGAAAAAAAAACAAAACCAAAAGTAATACAAAACTGAACCATTTAACGAACAAACAAAAAAATTGTGTAAAGAGCCAGTGTGTTTCCATATGTTCTTTTTTAAAAATTACTTTTTATTTCAGATTTAAACACGTTAAGAGGTCCTATAGATAGGACAATCATTACTATTGTAAAGCAGATCCACATACATATCATCTCACATAGTGTCTGTTCTGTGACAGAACAGCTATAAATTACTTCTTTACAAATCCCTAATACAACAAATTTTAACTTCAGTTCACATGTTATACATTCAAACCCTAGACTTGTTCATCCTACACATCGGTCTTAACTAGGTTTCCTCATTTTTTCTCACCTCATCCCACAACCCTAGATAACCATTGTTGTCTCTGTTTCTGTATATGTAAGCTCTTTTTTAAAAAAAAATGAAGAGATAAGACACTTATGGGACACAGATAAAGTTTATTATCTGTTGACGAGGATGTGTATGGTGGTCTCAACTGGACTGGACTGAGGTGTATATCATACTGGATAAAGTCTCTTCACAATCTAAGTGATGTATAGTGATTTAGTGTATGAATAATAATTTTAAAAAATTTAAAATTTTCCCATATATTAAATCATTCAGTATTTTTCTTCATGTATCTGATTTATTTCACTTAGCTTAATGTCAACCAGGAACATTCACCTTTTTTTTTAAAGTATTTTTGCTTTAGGGCAATGTTCACTCATCAGAGAGAGAGAGAGAAACAGTGAGAGGGAAAGTAAAAAATCACCTCTGGGGGTGATGGTCACACTACAGTCCATTCTCCATTATCCTCCAGGGATCTTGGGCATGTGCACACATATGCCCAGCATGATTTTCAAGCCACTGGGTCTGGGATTCAAACTGCAGTTAGCCATATAGGAATCCAGGCACAAGTCTGCTAGACCATCTGGTGGCCCCCACGTTCACTCAATTGACCTATAATTCTAGAAGTTTATTTTTTTAAAAAAACAGGAGAGAAATTGGGGGAAATTTTTTAAATGAACTTACTGTCCATTGGGTGACATGGTGTTTAAACCTCAGGATCCCATATGGCTGACTCCATGGTCCAATTTCTAGACCTGGCAGCTTGAAAAACATGCTGGGCACATGTGCATGTATGCCCAAAATCCCTAGAGGAGAATGGAAGAGAAGGGAGGGTTGTAGTGTGACCATCTCCTTGGGAGATGATTTCTCACTTTCCCCCTCTCTGTCTCTCTCTGGCAAGTGTGTATACTTTGTGATGTAAGTCTAAAAGTAAATTAAATAAAGTGAACTAACTATCATATGAAAGATTGAACCAGAAACATCCCAGTACACATTTCTGATACAGGCTATGTTTTGTTCACTGGGTTTTATTTTGTTCCAAATAGTGTAAAGATAAAAGTGGAATCATAAAAGTAGAATGACAAAGGTAGAATTAAGAACCAATTAACTCTCAGTTTACTTATTTCATAATAGAACAAATTAGCTTAATGTCTTTTACAAAAATGAGTTATTTTCTTTTTTAAAAAATGTATTTCTTCAATAAAATCTCATTCATTATTTTACAGAACAAATATTGCATTTTCTTATCATAGTAACTTATGAGAAAAGCAAATACTTAAAATCCAATTTATTGTTCAAGATGGTACGTGTATTTATTTCCATGGTTTGATTATTACATATTGAATACATTCTTGGAAAAACCACACTGTACTCCAGAAAGATGTACAGTAGTTATAAATGTAGATTATAAATATGAATAAATTCTTTTCAAAAAGGAGATGTGCAGAAAATCCTACTATGTTTGTAATTGGAAATAAGTGAGGCATACCATTTATGGAGAATTAAACTGAGGTTTAGAAAGAAAATCGAGTCAGAAAGAACATATGTCATTCGTTGAGGCTATGTAAAGAAATTTGCAGTTGTGGATTAGGCACTCACTACAAGTATAAATGAATATAGCATATTTAATTTATTTGTAAAAGATGGCTTGCAGGTATAAATATACTAATATGAAGTATATTTTTAAAGTCTAGTTTGGACACTCACTAACTGTACAACTTAGGGCTGACTTCTCTAAACTTTGTGATATGAAGAGTTATCCTGTCTGCTGAAAGAAATTCAACAGCTAGAATATTATATGACAGTACTTAAAATGAAAAAATGAATAAAGAAATAAGTAAATACATAAATAAGGATATGCCATCAGACAAAACCATTTTAGCACACATAGAGAAGCAGACTAATAGAAATTCATTTTCTTTCAGAATTTTACTATTGTACTTCAAAAAAATGATCATGGCTATTGCTGGGCAGCATTATTATGAAGATTTAAATTAGCCAATCATTGAAAGATCTTATTATAGTTAGTGGTATATCCTAGAATGTGAAACTCAGTAAGTGTTCCTGCAGGTGTGTATTTGTAGATAGCACATAGTTGATTTATCTTTGAGTGAAGAAACAATGGACAAAAGTTTCCTTACATAGTAAACGTTAGATTTTCCTTAGATTGCACAGAAGCTCTTTAATTTGAATAGTTCCAGAACACTGGCTGAATAGCTGATTAAATTAGAAAATCATATAGATTTGAATTATTAAAGCTTTTTTACTTGTTTAAAATATTTTTGATTTTTAAGTTCTTTTCAGATTATATCAGATCTTTTTCACAGCATAGGCTCTCAATTTTTGCTTGTTCTCATTAAATGATGGATTCAGCACAATGTAAAATTATTTAGGAAAACTATAGAATGGAACACTTTTATTGTTTCTGATTCTTTCTAATTTATTTCTTTTTTATACTAGAGCCTATGCTTTTCTCACAGTATCTATATATTTATATCATTCATACTTTCGTAAGGTTTCCATCTATAATCCATAGCTATATAATTTTATTTTGTTTAATTAGAACCTGCAAATTGAAATATAGTCATATGTATAGCAGAAGTTCCCAGCATCAATATATCATGTTCTCTATAAACTAACAGTTCATACCTTTTCCTTGGTATGAATATTTGACAAGAGTCCCATCTTACCTATCTTGCTCAAGCTTTTCTAATGTTGTAGCACTGATGCCTCCCAGACTCAACTTCCATAGAACTGAGAATATTGATATGCTTGAAATATGAAAGAGAAGAATTATGATCAAATTTTCACCTCAGTGTTTTGCAGCTGTCTTATTTGCCTATTTAATATTTCTAAAATTTGTTTATTTCTTATTTCTGAGATAGAAAGACAGTGTGAGGATTCTCCAACAGAGTCTTCACATCACAATGTACATCCAGTCTTAGCCTGGCACCATCACAGTTTTCCTGTAATACTGCAATTGTGTCTAACATATATAGAGAGACCTCCCAGTACATAAACCCAGGCACTCTTCATATGGCTTCAGCATAGTAGAGCACTGCATTAGGGCTGCCTGATGGCAGCTGGTCTAGTAGCCATAATATTAAAAGCTCTTTTTGATACAGTACTCTCAGATAATTTGACTTTATTTTTTAAAATATCAACATTTTTATGCAGGTTTTGATTTAACAGTATTATAGAATTAAATTTAGTAGTTAAAATAAAGAGTAACAAATAAAACAAGAACAGGAATCTTAGAGAAAAGATCAATAACCAACATGATCTGCTCTTCATAAGAGCACATTTTAACAATGGGACCATGAAGAACACAAGCCATTGAAGAGTAGATTCTTAGCTGAGAGGGTTCAACCTAAAGATGTCTCCACTCTTCTGTTTTATAGAGGTAATAGAGTGTGCTGATCAGTCTCCCCAATAATTTCAATTAGAGGCATCTGACCAATGGTCCCTTCTGTATTTTATGTGGTGTGGATACACAAGGCTGCTAGAAATGAGGTGAAGATATATCCTCTCTATGTAATAATTTGGTGTCCACTGCTATTCATTATGTCTATAGCTGAAGAAATCTCAATATATGGAGAAATACCAAGTAGCCTAATATAAAATCCTAACACTGAGAAACCAGCCCACAATGACTTCTTTTCTCAGCCAGTAGAAGTCACCGTGGTGGCTTCTAGGCACTAGGTGGATTTTCTCTCCTGAGCTGTGTGGAAGTTCTTAGGTGGCTCCAAGAATGTGCACTGCTGAGATTTTCCTCTGAGTTAATGCACTACGAGAAATGTAACGATGGGAACCAGCAGTTAGTGTAATGGCTGTTGCTGGACTCCCACGTAGTCGACCGTGGTTCATGTCCCAGACCCAGTGACTTAAAACTCACGCCGGGCGTGTGTGCGTGCGTGCCCAAGATCCCGAGAGGAGAATGGAGGAGAAGGGATTGTGGCGTGACCATCCCCCCTGTGGGGTGATTTCTCGCTTTCTGTCTCTCTCTGTCTGTCTAGCAAGCGCATGTACCCTATAATGAAAACCTCTCCAAAAAAAAAGAAAGAAAGAAAAGAAATGTAACGATGGATGATCACCAGCTGACCTATGTTCAGGACCTGTCACAATAGTTATGACAAGGTAAGTTCACAGCCAGTGATTTTACACAGTCATGATTATAGAGCTTGGTCATTTCTGCAGACAAATGTCTTCTAATGAACCATCCTTGTTCTGGGTCTCCACGTCAGCCTGGCTGAAACATGCTCAGAGTTGTATTTGTGTTCAATGCTTAACCCATCTACTCCTCATTCTTACTCTCAGCTTTTACAGATGTTAGGAGGATATCTCAGTGAAAAGTTTCCCCTGCCTATTTCACTTTTCTCAAAATATTTTCTTATATGAGTGCTTAACTCCCATAATTCCAAGTATGTTCTATTTGTTTCCTACGGCAATGTAACAAATCTTAGCTTTACACAACCTAAATTTATTCTTTCAAAGTTTGGTTTCTAGAAGTCCAAAGTCAAAGTGTTACCAGGGTCATGCTCAGATTGAGATTCAAAGAAAGAATCTACTAAATGTCTCTTTTCTAATTTCTGGTTGTTCCATCAATTTTTTTTTTGAGAGGTTTTTGCTACAGGATGTGTGCACTCTCCAGAAGACAGAGAGAGACAGAGAGACAGAAAGCGAGAAATCACCCCCCGGGGGATGACCATGTCACAATCCCTTCTCCTCCATTCTCCTCTCAAGATCTTGGGCACGCAAGTACAAGCCCCCTGCATGAGTTTAAGCCACTGGGTCTGGGACTTGAACCGCAGTCAACTAACTACATGGAAGTTCAGCGACATAGTCATTACACTAACTGCTGGTCCTGTTCCACCAATTCTTGATACTTCTTGCTCATAGTTTCATCACTCAAATTTCTATCTTCATCTTCACATGTTTATCTTCCTCTCCATAGGATAGTGTATCTATGTCACCATCTACAAGAACACCAGAGCTCTACTTAGAGCCCACTCTAAACTGAAATAGCCTAATCTGTACTCAATTACTTTTGCAAAGACACTGTTTCCAAATCAGGATAAATTCACAGATTCCAGGCAGCTTTGAATATTTAAGGGACACAATCCTACCCAGTACATATGATAACAACCATCCTGGCTGCCATCATCTTGATATAATTGCTAAACTGACTATTTGCATATCTGAGTTCTTAGAGTATGGGTAGTGAAGACTGATACATGACTCTACAACCCAACCACTTATGGAATAGAATAAGGATGAACAATGGAGAAACAATAAAGAATGTTGTGAATGTGGCCCAGTTTTCTACAAAGTATTCTTGAGTAACTAAAATATCACTAAAATCTGTATGTCTGATAGTTTGTATACTGAATGTAGATCATATTTTTAAATCGATAACCTAATTAGTCTCTCTTTGAAAAAATAATTAAATTTGTTGTTTGTAAATTTTTTGAAAGACAATTCTCTGACTTCCATTAGAAATGTTACTAAAGTCTAATTCCTATTCTTCCCATGTCTTGAGATCATAATTCAACAACCTGACCCCAAGTAAATTAGGATGTCCACTGGGGTTTGCATACTGTGGAAAAAGGAGAAACAATGGAGACTGTTAGTTGATGGCAGTGGTGATGCTGGTGCTCTAGGCGGGAAGAGATGCCTGGACTTGCTGAAGTGATTACCCCAATGTCGCTCTTAGTCCATTTATACTTTTTCTTAGTTGAATTTCTAATTCTCAGATTCCTGCTTCCTTTCAATTTTCAGTTCTCACCCCTGAGGCCCTGTCTATTTTCTCAGGGGCAAAAATCCCCAGTATAACTTCACCAACTCCTTTCTTCAACTTCCTCCCCTTCATTTGCTTATTTCGGACAGTGAGAACTATTTTCATTTCTCAAGGCAGTAAGTTTCCTAAATGATAAATTATTTTCATTTGCTTATTTTGCATGCCTTCAAGAATAACTTGCCTCAAGCTCCAGGAAATATATGAGTACATTCCCTCTGAATAGAGAACAGTAGGATGGAATAGCTGTTACCAGATGCTCTTGTTTTCCTGGTGGGATTAACAGCTGGCACATGTTTGTACATGTAGAAGGTACTAGGGGTCAGTAAGAATGCTATGTGGTAAGGAGCACTTATAACTTAATAAGGGAGAACATAAGCTGATTATTCTCTGAACATAGATTGTATCATTTATGACAGTTTTCTGTAGAAGATTTCAAGTAGAAACCAGAAACATGGCAGATAAATTGAAAAGGAAGAACTGGATTGAAATTGGGAAGGCAGTACAGACACAGTTGTAACTATATGAATTGGGGAAAGTACATGACTTTCAGATCCCATCCTGCTCATTTTTCTTCTGACACATCCAGAATCTAGCAAATAAGTTCTTTCCTCAGCCTCGTTTCCGTCCAGCATCTAAAGCTAATTTATATATTACTCTTATGAAACAATTGGAGTTTGAGGGAGGTGTAAGTAACCACCTCACCAAAACCTGTAAAGGCATATCAGGAGCATTCATCTTGTTATCTGTTCTCAAACACTGATTTAGGGAGATTATATCAACTGAAAGGGAACTTTGGAGAAAAAGCAGAATATAAAGTCAGAAGTAGTGGAAACCACAAATGAAACAACATAGTATGCTTAAAATTAGGAATACCAAGAACTAATGGTAATGGATAGACAAGAATTGTTTTTAGCCAAATATGTCTAAGAACCAAAATATCATGAATTGATGCACGAAAAGAGAAAAATGTATGAATTGTGGCATGGAAAACCTAGGGTTTTGCCAGACCAAAGGCTTAAAACTCATGTCGGACACATGTGCATGCGTGCCCAAAATCATAAAAGAGAATGGAGGAGAATGTATTGTGGTGTGGCCATTCCCCCTGGGAGGTGATTTCTCACTTTCCTTTTCTCTGTCTCTCTCTCTGCTGTTGCTCTGGCAAGTGCACATGCCCTTTAACAACAACAACAACAACAATGAAAACTCTAAACAAATAATAAAAAAATGACAAGTTTATAAACATACATTAAGCAATATGATGCTTTGAAATTTGTGTGCATTGTGAAAGAGTTAAATAAAACAATACATAAATGAACTCACAAGTCCTTTTTTGTTGTGGTACCAGAGATCCTCTTCAACACCATATTGTAATTATCTATGAGACAAAAGGTGAAAAATCCCTCGACGAATTTGTTTTGTCTTAACACTATAGATAATGGGATTCATTACAGGGGGTGCCAGTAGATAGATATTGGCCATAATGACATGTACAATTGGAGGGGCATGCTTGGCAAAGCGGTGAGTCATGGACACTCCCACCATGGGAACATAGAGAACCAAGACAGCTAAGATGTGGGACATACAGTTATTGAGGGCGCGGAGTCTTTCAACATGGGAGCTAATTCTCAGCACGCTTTTCAGGATGAGTACATAAGAAAGCAAGATAAGCATGGGGTCCAGGATAATAATGAACAGAGTCGCTACAAGTCCATACCAACTATTGATAGTAGTGTCAGCACACACTGTTTTAATCATGTCCTGATGGAGGCAGTAAGAGTGGGAAAGATTATGGGAACCACAAAAGGGAAGCCGTATCAGCAGGATCAACCCAGGAATTATAGGCAGAATGCAGCGGCAGATGATGGCTAGTCCTATTCTACTGATGACCTGGTTGGTGAGAATGGAGGCATAGTGGAGGGGCCGACAGATGGCCACATAACGATCAAAGGACATGACCAATAGCACAGAAGATTCCATGAAGGAAAATGCATGGATGAAGAAGAACTGAGTAAAGCAAGCCTCAAAACTGATTTTAGAAGCATTGAACCACAGGATCCCCATGACTGTAGGCAGAGTGGTTAGAGTGAGCCCTAGATCTGTCAGGGCCAACATAGACAGGAACAAGTACATGGGCTCATGCAGGGAAGGTTCTGCCCTGATGACAGCCAGTATGGTGGTGTTGCCCATGATAGAAACAGTGTAGAAACAGCAGAAAGGAATAGAGATCCAGGTATGGAAGGCCTCAAAGCCAGGAATTCCTGTGAGAATGAAGTAGAAAGGGACTTCACTGGAGTTAGTGGCCAAAATCATGACTGAAATAGATAGCCAGAGAACAGACTTCTTTGCCCAATCTGAAAAAACAAACAAACAAAAAAGGGTAACATAAGGATTTGAGTAAATGTTCTATGTCCACTTGAACTCACAATGTAAAATATTGTTTAGAAAGATATGGGGAAGAGAAGAGATGTAGAAAATGTGTCAACAGTATTTTTTTATTTTTGTTTTTTCGAACTCATAACTTGTCATCTCTTTTTCAACCACCAAGTTCTGAGCATGAGGTGGTCATTTGGTTTTTGTTTGTTTGTTTGCTTTTATCTTTTAAAAGAAAACTTTAACTTTTATTTATTTTGCATTTATTTACTGAACATCATTAAAGCATGCATTATATAGTGGCTTAATCATACAAGCTATTGTCAACAAATAATTTTCCACTTTTTATTTCCTATACATTCATCTACATAATTATTTTTCCCCTATTTCTCACTCTCTGCCATTCTAACCCTCTTCTTATATTGTCTCTGGTATATAAAGTTGTTTCTATTCCTTCCCTCCCCACATTTTGTTGATTCCCAAAGTATCTAAATCTAAATACTTTCAATCAAAAGTACTGCTGAAATATACACACCTGTGAACACATGTCTGATTTTAGTCATGAGATTCTGCAAGTAGAATGAACTTACTGTAATTCAAGGACTTTTTGACCTGTTCAGAAAATACTTTTCTTTTCTGTTGGGTAGTCTAGGAGAGTTTTATTGCTGTTAAAAGTATTAGCTGTGGAGAAGAGTTAATTGCAGAGCATTGTTTGATGGCACGACGCAAGGAAAAAAAGAGTGAGCTACAACCAGTACATTTTCATTGCAATTTTAAGACAGTTATTTAATCATTTAAGTCAACCAAACATCAAAAAGAGAAATGAGTTAAGGCAAACAAAAGGAAAAATATAATGCCTGTTTCAAAAAACAGAAGTTCTTTGATAAAACTGTTAAGACCAGAAGTTAGAGGACCTTTTTATTTCTTGGCAGAAGAACCAGAATAGGCCCATTACATGAGTCAAACATGACATTCTATTGCTGAGGTATATATCAACAGGAACTATGTTAAAAGGTTTATCTACTGAGCACTCTCTGGGAAAGACTGCAATTATGATTAGAAATATGTCTGTGAAACTGCCTCACAGGACTGAATGTAGGAAACAGAACCTCTCAGTACATAAATTATATCTTTTAGATCAGCCGATACTTTGCTGTGAACTTGTTAAGCTCATATTCACTGAGGTTTGAATAAACTATTTCATGTATTTGATTTTATTATTGCTATCTGGTAAGACCTCCTTGTATTTTCTTTTTAACTTACAGGTTAAAAACTCAAGAAATAATAATTTGCTCTTCCTGCCCACCAACAGATAGTCTAAATCAGTATTCAGTAACCTCTGTGTATTGAAAGCTGTCATCATTGTTATCATAACCACTTTAAAGGGGGGTGAGGGGCAGATTGAGGAAACAGGAGGAGAGGACAGAAAGGGAAGAAATCCTAGGCTGTAGAAATCAGAATCCTTCCTCCTGGTCTATCACTTAACTAGCATTGACTTCAATTTCAAGAGTGCATCCATCTCTGAGAAAGCTTCTCCTGGTGCACTTCATCCTGAAATTATGTTACCCCAGAAAGTCCCTTGTGGTAATCCTGTTGCAGTTTTCCAATGCACCACACTAGTGGGTTTGTGGAAAGTCCTTCAGCCCTGCCCTTCCTTTCACAAGCTCTGGAGTGTCTTCTATCTCTGTTCAGTTCACAGGGATCCCATTCAGCCTCACTTCTTATGCTATCTTTTTGGCCTTCTTTGACCAGGTACTTCACCTGTATCTGCTTTATAGGAGTCTTCAGGTTTCTGTAGAACTTAGCCTGCTGAATGGGAGCATTTGTATAACATTTTCAGATCCTCAGGGGAGGGAGTAGAATCCTTTTTAACAGTTGCCCCAGGGACTGAAGCAAGACTTATCTGTGTAATTTACACTTCTCTGCATCACTAAGAGACACACAAAAAAATCAGAGATCCTGTGCTGATTTTTCAAAGATAAACTGAGAAAAATCAAAACCAAAAATAATATGAACCATTTAACAAACAAAAATTTTGTGTAAAAAGCCAGTTTTTTCACATGTGCTTTTAAAAAAAAATAATTTTTATATCTTTTTCTTTCTTTTTTTTTTTTAGAGGTTGTTATAGGGCACGTGCACTCACCAGACAGACAGAGACAGAGAGACAGAAAGCGAGAAATCACCCTCCCAGGAGGGATGGCCATGCCGTAATCCCTTCGCCTCCATTCTCCTCTCAGGATCTTGGGCACGCATGCACTTGCGCCCAGAGTGAGTTTAGGCCACCAGGTCCGGGACTCGAACCGTGGTCAACTATTTGGGAGTCCGGCGACATAGCCATTACACTAACTGCTGGTCCCTTTTTATATCATATTTAAATGTGTTGTTATCCAATTCCTATCAATAGGATAATCATTACTATTGTAAAGAAGATCGATATACCTATCACCTCACATAGCAACTATTTTGTGACAGAGCAGCTATAAATTACTTCTCTAATAATAATCCCTAATACAACAAATTTTAAATTCAGTCACATGTTCTACATTGAAACTCTAGACTTGTTCATGCTAAACTTCTGCTTTAATTTATATCTCATTTCTTCTCATCCTATCCTGCAACCCTAGGTCTCCATTGTTTTCAGTTTCTGTTTCTGTTCATGTAAGCACTTTTATTTTCCCTTTTTAAAAAATTTCCCGTACATAAAATAATTCAGTATTTTTCTTTCAGTATCTGATTTACTTTACTGCCGCGCAACTGACGACTCCAGAGACGGTCTTCTCTTCAGCACTTTATTTCCCCAGGCTATGTTACAGAAGTTCTTCCCTTCCTCCCCAACCCTAGGACCTTATAAAGGAACCCTAGCCAATCGGGACGTTGTCCACGTGTGCGGAAATCAGTTCTCGGGTAGGGATTGGCTGCATGTGATGTTCCCGTGCTCTCCACGCTCCCCACTGCCCTACTTCCTTAAAGTTGTTTACTGCTTTGAGCGCTCAGCGGGCTTCCGTTGAGCGCCATTTTGAAATAGGCGCTGAGGGCCATGGGCGGGGGTGCTCCACACTTTACTAAGCATAATGTCTATCAGGAGCATGACTTTTTTTACAAGTTTTTGCAATAGAGTGTGTGCCCTCATCAGAGAGAAAGAGACATAAACGGTGAAAGGGAAAGTGAGAAATCACCCCCCAGGTAGATGGTCACACTGCAATCCCTTCTCCACTCTCCTCCAGGGATCTTGGGCATGCATATACACTCACTCAGCCTTATTATTAAGCCACTGGGTCTAGGATTCGAATTGTGGTCAGCCATATGTGACCACTATACCAACTGTTGGCCCCTACATTCACACTTTTTTTATTTAATTTTCTTTTATACATTCAATCACATTATTTAGCTTACAAAGTGAATACTCCATCATTTGAACATTTCTCCCTAGCCAGTTGATAAACTATAAAATTATGTTCAACAAATACCACTTTTCTTTGTTTCACTAATGCTTTACCTCTCTATTTTTCTTCTAAATGTCCTTCTGAGGACATTTGCAGACTCTACTCTTTCACACACACTATACATGGTAGAAACACAGTAAATGAATGTGAATAACATTCACACTTTTGACACACAATTCTAGAAGTTAGAGTTTTCTTTTACAGTAGAGAATTGGGGAGGGGGGATTTTAAATGAACTAATTACTGGCCAGTGAGTGGCATGGTGTTTAAAGCACGGGATACTGGGCAGCCAGCTCCACAGTTCAAGCCAATGCTTTGCAGCTTGAAAAACATGCTGGGCATGTGCGCATGCATATCCAAAATCCCTAGAGGAGAATGGAAGAGAAGGGAGGGTTGTGATGTGACCTTCCTGCTTAGGGATGATTTCTCACTTTCACCCTCTCTGTCTCTCTCTGGCAAATGTATACACTTTGTGACATAAGTCTACAAATAAATTGTATAAAGTGAATAAATAAATAAATATAAATATAAAATGATAAAGAGTTATTTTT